TTGAAAAATTGAAAAATTGGAAAATTGAAAAATTGAAAAATTGAAAACAAAAAATATATCTGAAAAGCAAATACATAAAGTATTTTCCAGTTCTCGAAAAGATGTCATTGCACAAAATTTTAAGCTTAAAGCGTAAAATTGATGAAAGTGTTGATCTAAATGCTTGTATCGAAATAATTTAAAGAAAAGTGTGTATAGCTGTAACGATATTATAATTGATAAGTTATTATTTAAAGAATGTATTGATTTTTCGTTTTGACGATATTGTGTTAACAGATTTCCGTAACCGTTTAAAGCTACTCAAGAGCAGATGAGCTACTTATTGACTTTTGTCATTTGTACTTCAAAGTGCAATGTAATTATATTTATTAACAAACGGAAATGTTATTAAACAATTTGGTAATAAATTGAACTGTAAGATCGAATATTATTTGTACAGTGTGAAGTTTATACAACGAAATTTGTTATTTTACGAAACACTACATTTTGTACTTTTTACTCACACCTGATAGTAATTTTGACCCTAATTTTTTGTAAATATTTGTTGAGTATTTTTTAAGTTTGCACTGCAATTTGTATTGATACTAAATTGATATTAATCAATTGATACGAAATTGATATAAATCGATATTAATATGTTAATTGTTTAATTAACAATTATTAATATAATAATTATTATATTAACAATTAAATTATTAATATAAATTAAATTATTAATATAATAATTTTTAATATGTTTAATATTGGTTAATATCAATTAATTGATATTAATTGATATTAATCAATATTAAAAAGCAACAAAAAAAGATGTTTACTTCAGAGTCTCGATATATTGCCCCCATGAATTTAAGGCAAGTGTACTAATATAAATTGAATATTAATCAATATTAAAAAGCAACAGAGATTTCAGTTGTTAAACAAGAATCCAAATTATTAATGTTCATATCTGACATACGAGAAAACTGGATCAAACAGTTCTTCATACACCCGTTCTACCAGAATTAAAAGAGACCAACCCTCGCTGCCCCACGTCGTAACAAACGATATAATTAATCATAATTTCAACGCACATTTACATCCCCTTCTTATCACAAAATCGATAAATCAATAGTTACCTAACCATCAATCACCGTCGCAAAAAGAAACTTCCTCCTCGAATATAAAATAAGAACACATTCGAGTAAACATTATGTATTTATTATTAAACACATAATTATGTAACAAAATATATAAATTTTAAATACATTTCAACACGTTGATTAAATATCAGTTATCACATTTAATGTGAAACTTTTTTATTTAAATTTGGAAAAAGATGTTTACTTCAGACTCTCGATATATTGCCGCACAAATACTTGTAAACAGTAATTCAACGTGTTAATCACAATGGTATTTTTGGTATCAAATATGTAACAAAAGGAGGAAATCGTTTATGAAAGGAATGATGAGACATTAGTGATCATTTTCCTGCTGTCGAATTTAGAATTGGGTCTTTGGGCGTTTGTCCAGGTAAGCCTTGATCTTTGGTAAGGATTTCACTGTCTGCACCAATTTCTGTAGTGATGGGTATCCAGCGGTCACGTCGGATTCGTTGATGGAGTTCAACATCTCAACTTGGGAAGCGAAGGTTAGGTCTGGCCAGGTCAGCTGCAAAAATATAATTTAGAAATTAGAATCAAATTTAATTTGAATTAAACTCCCTAAAATCTCACAACTCTCAAATTAACAGATTCCTAAATTTTCTAATTCACACACTCCTAGATATCTAAAGGTCTCAATACTCAATTTCTAAATCTCCTAACTCTCAACTCCTCAAATTCCCAAATATCCCAACTCTCAACTCTCCCAAATTTTTAAATTCCGCAACTTACAAATTCCCAAATATTTAACTCTCTCAATTGTCAGCTCCCCAAATCTCTAAGTCTCTCAACTCTCAACTCCCCAAATTCCCAAATATCTTAACTCTCAACTCCCCCAAATTTCTAAATTCTCCAACTCTCAACTCCCCAAATTTCTAAATCCTCCACCTCACAAATTCCCAAATATCTAAATTTCTCAATACTCAGCTCCCCAAATCTCTAAATTTCCCAACTCTCAACTCCCTAAATTCCCAAATATCCCAACTCTCAACTCCCCCAAATTTCTAAATTCTCCAACTCTCAACTCCCCAAATTTCTAAATTCTCCAACTCTCAACTCCCCAAATTTCTAAATTCTCCAACTCTCAACTCCCCAAATTTCTAAATTCTCCAACTCACAAATTCCCAGATGTCTAAATCTCCCAATACTCAGCTCCCCAAATCTCTAAATCTCCTAACTCTCAACTCCCCAAATTCCCAAATATCCCAACTCTCAACTCTCCCAAATTTTTAAATTCCGCAACTTACAAATTCCCAAATATTTAACTCTCTCAATTGTCAGCTCCCCAAATCTCTAAGTCTCTCAACTCTCAACTCCCCAAATTCCCAAATATCCCAACTCTCAACTCCCCAAATTCCTAAATCCTCCAACTCACAAATTCCTAAATATCTAAATCTCCCAATACTCAGCTCCCCAAATCTCTAAACCTCCCAACTCTCAACTCCCCAAATTCCCAAATATC